TTTTTTACCTTTATACCGCTTATAATTATTTAAAATTTCTTTTAGGATTTATGGAATTATTTCTTGAACAAGTTACAATTGTCGTACACTTGCCGTTTAGGAACACACCACAAACCACGCTACATGAAATGCACCCACGATTCGCTATACATTTATTTTATTATTGTTCAAAGTTGTTACGATAGTGTCACATGCACCCGATTTTTGGGATTAGGTATCATAACTATGTTACAAGAACCGTACCCATAGTCACGATGATTTAATTTTGCGCCTAAAGAAAACTACGATGTTCAAATTATTTCTTAGCTATTCTTGATCGTTCCCAACATCTACAGAAACGTCTAATGATAAAAGGTATCAACTACTTAATGAAAGCATGGGTTTATAAGCCCAAGATAAAATGAAGTAGCCCAATTGGGCTATTTGGCAAAGGCTAGCCCAGTCGCTACTCTTAAAGGATTGGGCATGTTACGAGTTTGTGCTTAATACCAATAAAGTCCATCTTAAATATACATTTATTCAAAGTTGGAGTCCAGTTCATTTCAATGAAAAAATCAGAATATCATTCGAGTTTTAGAATTAATTACAATACACATGATTTACAATACATAAAAGAAATAAGTTTATGCTATAGTTCAAAAGGTAAACCCATAGCTGGGCGGTCAAGCTATTGGGTTTAACGCCCAGGCCCAATGGCCTAGGCCCAGACTTGTTTGAGATCATTTTTCCCAACTGGGCTCATTTGCGAGTCTGGCCCAATCTGAATCGCAGAAGCAGAATAATTTTAGCAACTGGCCCATAGCCTTAACTATTGGGACATTACAAATTACACTAATAAAGAAGCCTTTCTATAACAAATAATGTAAATGCAATTTGACAATCAGAAAAATTTACATTGGAGTACTTGATACATGAATTACTACAACAATAACTAATCTATTAGATTAAAATTCCATTTTTTAAAAGGTAAAGATGTCAACAAACTCTATTACAATATTTCTGAAATGGACATCCTAGTGAACACTCACTCCTTTTGGATATAATTGATCCATCAAACTTAGTTCACCACATGAAACCATTAATTTCAGCATAACAGCAACCGCCAAATTCCAGCTTTTGGCTTTCAAAATATGTTGATTTGGCCAACTAGTGACCAAATCCACAAGTTATAGCCCATAGGCAACATGACCTCAAGCAAAACATTATATTGTTCATCAATAGAAGAAGAAGAAGAGAAGAAATGACTTCAACAACTAATATTCAGAATCAGTGTTAACGTGGTGAACATTTAACTAAAGAAGCATTTTCAAACAAGGTTACTTTCAAGAGGAAAACTACAAGCATCAATGTATCAACCAAGCTACTGATACCAGATTATTTCAAACCCTTGAACCCAACATAGCAATAGATTAACAAGATCTATAATAATGTAATCAAACAACTACATGAAAGGACACTCATTTATCACATATAATTGCATCTTTTGATATCATAACCTTTCAAACAAGCAGTGCATTAAGAAAGGTGAAATCAGTACCTTAACAACAGCAAAAACCAGCAGCAAAAATAAGTAAAATGCTGACTGAAAACTTAGAGATGGAGCAGCAACCAAAACCAAATAGCATTAGTAGAAACCAACCCGGAAAACCAAGAACCAGCACTCAAACTTCTCAAAAATCAGAGTACCAAAAAAACTAGCCTAGAAATCTAACTAGAAAACTGGAGTTTTTAGCCAGAGAAGTTTTAGGGATATTTTCTTTGTATTCTGAAGTTTTTTTAGGTCAAAGATATGCTCATTAATTCTGTTCAGAATGTGGGAGTAATCTTTTCTTTTATAAGGTATGCCAAAATAGCATTAAAATGACATATTCTATCCTAAATTCCCTAAGTGTCAGCTAGTACAACATATTTGGACAGTTGTCTGTCCTTTTTCAGCCCACTTCCAGCATTTTTCATCCTAGAAATTGGGACAACTATATAAATGCTAGAACCTTCTGATTTTTACTCAATGTAAAATCTAGTTTTACCCCTTCAATTACTGATTATTTCAATTCCTACCTAAGTTTTGATTTCAAAATCATTATGGGAACCTCTTAGAACAGTCTAGGAGATTCCAGTATTTGATTTCTGAAAACTGTTTTTAATTATAACTCCTTAGAGGCTTGACTATCATTCAAACATAGAATTAAGTCTGACCTTTAAACCAAACAACCCTGATCTATAGTGAGTCATAGGATTAAACTAGGCAAACTTTAAGCAAAAATTGTTTTCAAACACACATAGCAAATTTGTACACCAGATAAAGAACTGAAACGAAAAATGCAATGAACAACCAGAAGATTAGCCTAGTTAATCTACGAGTGATTAAATCAACAAATTAACAATGAAATTAATTTTAGTTAACATGCTAGACGTAATTTAAAGCTAAACAAGCAATGAACCTAAAACAGATAGACCTAACTAACACATGCACTCAAATCTTCAGAAAATAAGAACAACACACAACGAAAGGTAAAATAAGCTAAAAAAAATAAACCAGAGGGGTTTTTTGGCAAGCCGGAGCTCCTTTGAAATAGCTTCAACATATCCTAATCAATCGTTCCTATTGGGAACGATTGATTAACATAAATTTTGAACCAAATTCCTTTGGTGTGAATTTGGGGTTGCTTGGGCGACCTAAGGTTTAGGGTGTTACTTTTGGATTTGAAATCGGAAGGTTTGGGTGGTGATTTGGGAAAACCCAATGAGAAATTGATGTTTGGGAGGGGCTCAGGATTATATGGTGTAATTTTGAGGCAGTTTGGAGGTGGTCCGCTGCCGTGAGGCGATTTCCGATCGGCGGACCACGGCGGAGGCGGAGGGGTATACTAGGGCGGCTAGGGTTTTCATTGAGAGAGATGAAAGAGGAAGACGGAAGTGAGAGGGGGGGTCTATAGGGGTGGTCTCATTCAGACATTTATATGGGAATGAGGGATCAGTTCCCAACCGTTGGATCTGTATAGATCAACGGCTGGGATGGCTTGGGGGTTAAAACGGGGTCGTTTTTGGGGAGTGAGGGTTTGGACTGGGTATATTTGTCTTTGGCTTGGAGCTTGAACGAGGTAAAGGGGCAATTGGGCCACCAGATTTGATCTCTGGGTGGCCCAAATTCGAAAAACCAGCCTTTTTGTTTCTTGCTTTTTTCCTTCTTTTCTTTGCTTTTTCTTTAATTAAAAAAATTTAACCTAATTAATTAAATTCTAATTTTAACCGTAAGTTATCCTAAATTATAAAATTAAGCTAATCATCTATTTGTATTATCTACCAATTAATTAGTCTTAAATTAATAAAGAGGAAATTACTAATCCAAAATTAAAACTAAAAATGTAGAAAATGAATGACATTTTTTGTGATTTTTCATTTAATAAAGAAAGTAATTAACCAATTAATCCTAAAATATGAACATAAAATCTAATATGCAATGCATGATATTTGGACATTTTTTGGGGTATTCTTCACGATTTTAACAAAATTAAACATGCGCAAGAATGCAAACAATTAATAAAAATCCAATAAAATCCTATAAAATTGAAAACAATTTAGAAAAATCTATTTTCTTTAATTTTGTAGGAGTAATTCTGATAGGGCAAATATCACATGCTTACAGCTACCCCTCTTTGCTCGGAAACATGAAGAGTTTTCGGGCAAAGCTAAAATGAGCAATTATGAGCGATTTTTGCCCGTCTAGATCCTCCCTAGGAAGCATTGTTTGGAAAAGTCTGACTGAATCTTGCTTCAGAGGCTGCCTACATATCCTTGGCTATAAAGGAATCAGGTCAGTGTAGTTCTGGAAGTTTTGGTAGCTAGGACTACCGAATTGCTATGATTTCACTGCTGTTGCTGCTGTTTCTGCTTGCTGATCTCCTTATTACACCAAAGTCAAAATGAAAAACTAAACTAACTAAGCCTATCAGCTATGAGTTACAAGATTCATATCTATAAACCTTCTGGAGCTTGATCTTGAGTCTTGACTGGATGCAGACTCTGATCTGAATCTTGATGCTTGTTAATTTTAGGTGCTAGTTCATTCTTCTTCAGTTTTTGAAACAAAATGGGACTTGCAAGGCTTGCGACTTCAATCATGTCTTAAACAGTCCATATCTTTTCTGCACTTTGCTTCACTTATTTTCTTTTGTTCTTTTTCTTTTATTCTGGATCGAGAATTCTTCTTTTGGCCGCCTCAAGGCAAAAACTTGCTCAGGCACCAAAACAAACGAACGAAATTTTTCTGCCCCGATTTTTACTAGGAAAATTTTGCGAGTTATTATAATAAAAATCTAAACTACTTCTTTATTGAAAGCAATAAAATCAGGATTTTGTATCCTTGGGGAAAAAGAGATTAGGGAGTTGGAGACCCTATATCTAAAATGAAAACAACTGGGGATTTGAGGTCCTAGTTGGAAAGAATACTAGGTTATGCTAGAATCAACTAAGGAGTGGGACCCTATATTGGAAAGATTATCAGGTTATGATAGCATTAACTAGGGAGTGGGACCCTATGTTGGAAAAGTCATCGGGCTATGCCTGAAAAATCATCGGGTTTTGCCGGAAAAGTCATCGAGTTATGCCGAAAGAGTGACCGGGCTATGCCGGAAGAATCATCGGGTTATGCCAGAAAAGTTATCGGGTTATGCCGGAAGAGCCATCGGGTTATGCTGGAAGAGTAATCGGGTTATGCCGGAAAAATCATCAGGTTATGCCGGAAAAGTCATCGGGTTATGTCGGCATCAACTAGGCAGTGGGACCCTATGTTGGAAAAGTCATCGGGTTATGTCGGCATCAACTAGTGAGTGGGACCCTATATTGGAAAAGACGCAACTAGGGATTGGAGACCCTATACTACCATGATTTTGAATTTTTCTTCTTCTTTCTTTTCATTTCACTTTTCATTTTATTTAGGAGAATGAATAAAGAGTTTGGAAGGGACTTCCCTTTTTTTGGTTTAACTTTTGCTGCAGAACCAATTTGGTCTCTGCGTACTTTGCTTTTATCGCACCTGCATCTTGCGAGGTTGTTTTGGATTGCCCCTGTTTTCCTGTTTTCAAATCAAAGAGCAATTTGTCAGTTTGAAATGGTGGTTGGTTTTGTGGCCTTGATTGTTTCAATCACTTGATCTTGGCCTAGCTCTTTCAATAAAAATCTCCATTGCTCGCTGGCTCTCTGGAAATTGGTTTCATTTCTACACCCGGGGATCTTGGACTTTTTCCAACTTATTTTGCCTTTATGGGCACTTGACTTTGATTTCCTTTCTTTTCAAGAGTTTTTGACTCTGGAGCATCGGTCATTATGGCCAGTTGAGGAAAATTTGATTCACCTGCTGAAGCTGGGAGCTTTCTTGAATATTAGATTTTTCTCAAACAAAACCATGTAAAACCAATCTTTCCATCTTTTGTTTGTATTAGTTTCGGAGGAGAATTAGACCGAAAGGGATTCAAAGAAAAGTAAACAACGGACAGGACAATGAATTTAAACGAGAAGTGTCCCTTTCGGGGAAAGGAAAGAAGGACTTATCTGGAGTGCACACAGACTTCAATAGATATGACACGCTTTTTGGACTGGATACCCGATCTGTGCAAACCATACAACTCTCATAAACCCATCATAACCCATACCTCAAAATTGAGAAACCTTGCTAGTACTCTATCAGTACCAATGGTTGTAAGGGATCCCTTTTTCGATCAGTGGCGCCCTTTGTGGGTTTTCACCAACTGACCTCCTCATTTCTCTTCTCAACATCGTCTTATAGTGCTCTTTCCGAGTTTTCACTAACAAGACTCTCTCATTTTCAATTTCTCTACTTACCATCGCCTTATGGTGCCCATGTTGGTTTTCACCAATAAGACTCTCTAATTTTATTTCTGTCATTTGATTGTATCAGATCCAAGTAATCACATCCTCCAATTGCGGCCATCCGCTTTTATGGTGCCCGTGGCAAATTGCGGCCATCCGCTTTTCATCAATCAGGGTTAACTATTCTAGACGGGTCTTGACCCATTCATTATCCTCAATCTCAGCTTCAACGATGATTCGAAGAGAGGGAATTTCAACTTCTGCAGGTATTACGGCTTCAGTGCCATAAACCAATAGATAGGGTGTTGCTCGAACTGATATGTGCACAGTTGTGCGGTATCCCAATAATGCAAAAGGAAACTTTTCTGCCATTATCTAGAACTTTGAATCATTTTCCTGAGGATATTCTTGATGTTTTTGTTCGCTGCTTCAACAACACCATTAGCTTTGGGCCGATAAGGGGTAGAATTCCGATGCGCGATCTTAAATTATTTGCATACCTCCCTCATCAAATGACTGTTCAAATTTGCAGCATTGTCTGTAATGGTAGTTTTAGGAATACCAAAATGACAGATTATGTTGGAATGCATGAAGTCCACCACTGCTTTCTTGGTGACGGCTTTGAGAGTGATTGCTTCAACCCACTTTGTGAAATAGTCGATGGCAACTAAGATGAATCTGTGCCCGTTTGAAGCTTTTGGCTCGATTATCCCAATGACATCCATACCCCAAGCAACAAACGGCCACAGTGCCGACATAGGATGCAATTCTGAAGGCGGTGCATGAATCAGGTCACCATGTACCTGACATTGATGACATTTTCGGACAAAACTAAAACAATCCTTTTCCATGGTCATCCAATAATAACCTGCCCGAAGGATTTTCTTTGCAAGGACGTATACATTCATATGGGGTCCGCATACTCTTGCGTGTATTTCATTCATGATTCTTCCGATCTCTTGGGCATCCACGCATCTTAAAAGGTTCAAATCTGGAATTCTTCTATACAAGACTTCTCCGCTCAAGAAGAAACTACTGGCGAGCCTTCTGATGGTTCTCTTTTGGTCTCTACTAGCTTGTTCGGGATATTCCTTTGTTTTCAAGAATCTTTTGAGATCATGATACCATGGCTGAAGATATGGTTCCATTTCAACTGTATTGCAATAACCATGTCTTTCTCAAATTTAGATTTCCAGTGGGTCAATGTGGACATTACCTGGATACGGCAGCATTGAAGCTAAAGTGGCCAGTGCATCAGCTAACTCATTGTGGAACTGAGGGTTATACCTAAACTCGACGGATTTGAACTGTTTGCTAAGATCTTCTACATGTTGCCTATATGGAATAAGCTTGATATATCGAGCTTCCTATTCACCTTGAGCTTGTCGAATAATCAGGTCAGAATCTCCCATGATTAACAATTCTTCCACATCCTGATCGACTGCCATATTCATGCCCATAATGTAGGCTTCATTATCGGAAGTGTTGTCCGTACAAAGAAACCGAAGCTGGGTTATGGTCGGATAGTTCTTACCAGTGGACGAAATCAAAATTGGCCTAATCCCGACATCTTTAGCATTCACAGCTCCGTCGAAGAACATTTTCCAAGCATTGGTGTCTTCTGGAATTACCTCAACTGAATTTACCTCCTCGTCCGGAAAGTAAGTACTCAAGGGTTGATATTCATCATAACAAGATTCTCATCTAGGTGATCCGCCAAGGCTTGAGATTTCATTGCTGTGCGGATGACATAGACTATGTCAAACTCGGTAAGCAGGATTTGCCATTTAGCTAACCTCCCTGTGGGCATCAGTTTTTGGAATATGTATTTCAAGGGGTCTAGCCTGGTTATGAGATAGGTGGTATAAGCCAACAAGTAATGCTTGAGCTTCTGAGTGACCCAAGTTAAGGCGCAACAAGTTATTTCCAACAAAGTGTACTTGGCTTCATAACTAGTGAACTTCTTGCTCAAATAGTATATGGCTTGTTCTTTCTTCTCGGTCACATCATATTGCCCAAGAACACATCCAAAAGAATTCTCCAACACTGTCAAGTACAAGAACAAAGGCCTTCCAGGCTCGGGTGGGACCAACACTGGTGGATTCGACAGATATTCTTTAATTTTGTTGAAAGCTTCTTGACATTCATCTGTCCATCTAATTGGCTCATCTTTCTTCAACAACTTAAATATGGGCTCGCAGGTAGTAGTCAGTTGCGCAATGAATCTACTGATGTAATTCAACCTTCCCAACATACTCATAAACTCTTTTTTGGTTCTTGGAGGTGTCAAATCGCGAATAGATTTTATCTTTGTTGGATCTAGCTCGATGCCCCTCCGATTGACTATAACCCCCAAAATTTTCCCAGATGGAACTCCGAATGCACATTTAGCTGGATTTAACTTCAAGTCATACTTACATAGACACTCAAAGAACTTTCTCAGATCCCGCACATGGTCGTCCTGCATTCTAGATTTAATGATCACATCATCCACATATACCTCAATTTCCAGGTGCATCATGTCGTGAAATATAGCAGTCATAACTCTCATGTAAGTTGCCCCAGCGTTCTTTAAACCAAACGACATGACCCTGTAATAGTAAGTACCCCAAGGTGTGGTGAAAGCTGTCTTTTCTGCATCTTCTTCATCCATTAAAACCTAATGATACCCAGCATAACATTCCACAAAATATTGTATCTCATGTTTGGCACAGTAGTCAATAAGGATGTGGATGTTTGGTAATGGGAAGTTGTCCTTGGGGCTTGCTTTGTTCAAATCCAACAATCAACACACACCCAGGTTTTCCCATCTTTCTTTGGCACTTGGACCACATTAGCCAATCATGTGGTGTATCGGACTACTCGTATCACACCGGCTATCAATTGATTGGTGACTTCTTCTTTGATCTTGTCATCTGATTTCTGTTTTAAACTTTCTCTATTTTTGTTGGATAGGGAGATAACCGGGGTAAGTTGGCAATTTGTGCACTACTAAATCAACACTCAGTTCTGGCATATCATCATAGGACCAGGAAAACACGTCTTTGAATTCGAACAAAAGTTGGATCAATGCATCGATAGTTCTTTCATCAGCGTGAATGCTTATCATGGTTTCATGGACCTCTTCCGAACTACCCAAATTAACTGGCTCAGTTTCATTTAATTTTGGCTTAGGCTTATTCTCAAATTGTTCCAGTTCTCGGTTTATTTCCCTAAAAGCCTCATCTTCATCATATTTTAGTTCTTGACTCATTACTTCATAGTTAGACAACGTATTAAGATATGGGCATGAAGTCCGCAAGCATGTCATGTTATTTAAGTCCGTATTATTAGAACTGAAAAGAGAGATAAGAGAAAAATAACAAAAATTAGAAAGAATAAATAAAGGGATTCATAGACGATAAAATATTGATTTTATTTCATTGAATTTGAAGATAGAAGGATTTACATTGGAATTTAAAAGACAATAAACTAAAAACATTTGAGTTACACCCTGAAATAACTCGGAATGCAGAAAAGATGGCAAGACTGAACTACCGGGATTCCCGCCTAACTGGGAACGAAGTAGCCTTCCAATTTTTAAGTTTGGCATTTGGCCCCATATATTTCACCTCAGCAGTACTTGAGCCTTTACCCGGTTGGACCATGTGAGCCTCATATAACATTTGCCTCATTGCCCCACAGATGTCCTCAATTTCTTCGGTCTTGAAGGCCTCTTCTTCTTCTTCTTCTATGTACCTTGGCTTAACAAACGTTCTGGTGAGATGCGGGACTAGCTGAGGCAGAACCCACCCATTGTTCTTACATTCATTAGCCCATTTTATGTCAGCTTCTGTAGCTTGGAAACCGACGCCAAAGAATTTCTCACTGGCAGTCAAAGTGATGGGCTCTGTAATGCCTTGTAAAGATGCCCTGAGCCCTTTCCCGGGCTTGTATCCATGTTTGATCATTTCACTGGCGACCATGATTGACGCGTTTGATAAGAAAGGTTAAGGACACGGGGTTCCTTCCTCACACTGTTTCGCAACCACGATCTCAAAAGCTTGGTAGACTATGTGCTCACTACCTCCCTTATCCTCCAGACATGGGACTGATGGATCCCTATAGATTGATTGCTCATCTTCTCCATAGACCACGATTTCTTGGTCTTCATGCTCAAGCTTAACCATTTGGTGGAGAGTAGAGGGTACGACTCCTACATCATGGATCCAAGGCCTTCCTAGGAGAAAATTGTAGGAGGTGTCCATGTCCAAAACCTGAAATGTTACATCAAAATCCATAGGGCCGTTGGTTAGGATCAAATCAATCTCCCCTATCGTATCCCTCATGATGTCGTCAAAGCACGTACGCAAACATTGTTTGGTCTAATCCTTTCAGTCCCAATTTCCATTCTCTGTAAGGTCAAGAGAGGGCAGATGTCAACCCCAGATCCACCATCCAACATAACTCTTTTCACGTAGTATCCTTCATATTTAACGGTCAAATGAAGAGCTTTGTCGTGGGCATCCCCTTCCGGAGGCTAGTCATTTCGGCTGAATGAGATCTGGTTGACTTCAAAAAATTGTTTTGCATTCTTTCCAATTGCTCAACCGTGGTCTCGACCAGAACATATGCCTCATTAAGCGCTTTAACATCAGTTTCTGATACTCATTCGAGCTTATCAGTAGGGACAAAAGTGATACCTGAGAGGGGGACTTTCTGAGTTGATCAATCACGGCGCAGTTTGAGGTTTTCATCTTTTGGAAGAATTCATCTGCCTCTTCAGCACTGACTTGCTTTTTGGAGCAGAAAATGCTTCTGTTTCATCTTGTTCAATTCTTATAAGTTGAGGTACTTCCCAAACGGGTTCATTTCATTCACCTCCCCCATGATTTCCTTTCCCTTGTACGTCACCACTGCTTTATTGTAGTTCCAGGGGACGACAGTGGGGTCCTTCATGGGATTTTGTGGTGCGTGGCTGATAACCACGGGCTTAGTCAGCCTGGGTGAAATTATCAGCCCCCGTGCCATATAAGTCCCTTTTGGTAGGTACATCTTTGGTACCTTCAGTGTAACCTTATTTTGCTCAAACCTTTTGGGGGGACTCAACACAAACTGTTCTTTTCTGGGGGCCCTGGGAACATAGAGAACGGAATCTTTACGAGGTACTTCCTCTACCTTGGTTTCCACAACCTTTTCTGTGCTTTGAGGAGTGGAGTTGCTTTTCTTCTCATCATTAGCTTTCTTTGTTGCCGCTTTGGGTTTCTTTTCTATGTCAGTAATATCAATGATAGCTTTCATAGCTAGGTCAAATTCTTTGTCCTCACAGATCATCCCAATGACTGGCCGTTATTGTGAGCCGGCAATGGGTTATTAGTTACATTGGGAACTTCCTCATCCCTCAACACTACCCACTTCTATTCTATCAGATTTTCGACCGCCGTCTTAAGGGTCCATCAATCTTCAGTGTCGTGCCCTTCTGCCCCTGAATGATAAGCACATCGGGTACTAGGTCGGTAGAAGGGTGACTCTGGGTTTTTCCTGTTTGGAGGTACGGGTTGTAACAAACCCATTTGGACTAATTCTGGGAAGAGGCTGGAATATGATTCACCAATGGGTGTGAAGTTAGTTTTTCTGGGTAGCTCACGGGGACGGGAGTTATATGGATAATTATTCTGTGGAGGGCATGGATTATACGAGGCTTGGTAAGGAGGGTTGTTTCTTGGAAGTGGATCTCAGTTCTGGTTATAATGTTATTGCGGCCGAGCGTATGGTTGGGCGTTCATTACTACTTAAGGCTGAGGATTCATGGCATATGTCACATCTTGGTGAGGCTAGTAATGTTGCAGGGTGTTGTAAGAGGAACTAAAGTAACCTCGAGGTTGACGGGGGTTTCTCAGACTTGAGGCCATCATTGATACTTCTTCTTTCTTTTTTCGGATTTGCTACACCCCCCGACCCGCTTTGGATTGCTTGAGAAGTGGCTCTTATAGCCGACTGGCTCAGAATGCGACCTATTTTCCACCATTTCCCCAATCTTTATGGCTTCTGCAAATGGCTTACCCATAGCGAACATTATGTTCTGGAAATAATCAGCCTCTTGGGCTTGCAAGAAGACACTGACCATCTCAGTCTCATCCATTGGGGGTTTTACCCTGGCAGCTTGTTCATGCCACTTGATAGCATACTCTCGGAAGCTTTCTAAAGATTTGTTTTTGAAATTGGACAAAGAGTTTCTATCTAGAGCTATGTCCACCTTGTACTGGAACTGTCTAACAAAGTCTCGGGCTAAGTCGTCCATATGTGCCAGTGGGAGATGTCTTGGTCCATATACCATTCATATGCAATTCCGACTAAACTCTCCCCGAAGTAAACCATCAAGAGTTCTTCTTTTTCGCCCGCTCCTCTTAACTAATTGCAATACATTTTCAGGTGGGCTATGGGGTCTCCATGTCCATCATACTTTTCAAATTTGGGAGTCTTGAAAATCGATGGGCAGATGAACATGTGGGAACATGTACAAGTCAGCGTAGGAGACACTTTTCTGGCCACTCAGGCCTTGCATGTTCTTGAGACTTTGTTCGATGCTTTTTATTTTGCGATTAATCTCTTCTTGCTCAGG